CTTAATTACAAAAGAAGTTAAGAGATACTCATCAATGCTTATCAATATAATATGAAGAGCCAAAGCTTCCTTTTATGAGAATAGATTTAAAGAAGCAAAAGGAAATATGAAAATGAAAAAATCCACAAGAGCCGTGACGAGGATTGAACCTACATCTGAGAGCATCCCAGACACTGCCTTAATCGAATGAGCTACGACATGGATAAGGGCCTCGTCACGGCCCTTGTGGATTTGTTCATTTGATGCATCACGCTATTGTGATTTCTATGCGTAGTGAAATATGAAAAGTACATGGAAAGCCATCTCTAACATCCTAGAGTCTAAACAACAATCACATAACAAGCAGATAAAGCTCTCCAATGATGGTTACACACTTGTAACAGACTTAGATATTGCAACTGAATTCAATAGCTTCTTTTCATCAATTGGTACAAACCTTGCCAGAAAAATCCCAGAGACCCAGACACATGTTACTACAAATTTCACAGGCAGCTGTCCTAATTCTTGTTGACAAGAGCACTTGGGCTCTGTCAACAAGCTGTTCTACTTCTTAAGAGGTAGACTATATTGCTCTGGACTATATACATTCCTATCTCAGTGACAGACATGTACATGTGGTCATCAATAGCATAACCGTCCTTACTTTACTCACTTGAACATAGGGGTGCCACAGGGCAGCATCTTGGGAACTCTCCTATTTCTTATATACATCAATGATGTGCCAAATGTTTCTAGCATTCTTAAACCTATACTATTTGCAGACGATACTACCATTATCTATTCTCACCCTACCCCCACACACTAAATAATATTGTCAACAGTGAATTAAAAAAGTCCACTCATGGATGTCAACCAATAAACTTACACTAAACATAGAAAAGATCTTCCACAGATTATTTGGTAGTAATTATCAAATCAGATTCAACTTCAGATAGACAATGTTAACATTACCCATAAAAATGATGGGAAGATGACCAAACCACACACCGGAAGATGAGGAGATGACGACATTTTGGTTCGTCCTAGACCATTATCAAATCGATTGTGATAATGATCCAGGACGAACCGGGATGTTGTCGTCTCATCTTCGGGTGTGTGGTTTGGTCATCATAGTCTTAAGATTAATCTGATTGTTGAACTTCTTACCAAACAAAAATGTAAAACGCTTTGTCAATGTTAAGGGTAAGTTTGTTAACAGTCAATTTAACGGACTTCATTTTGTTCAGTGTGCACCGTGTCATTTAGAATAAGTGGGTTAGCCTGTGAGAAAATATGAAGATTGTTTCTTCTTCATGTGCTGAAGAGAAAACATGAAGGTATTTGGAAGATATATGAGAAAAATGAGTGGACCAAGTATGCTACCCCTGCAGAATGCCAACGTTAATTGACAAAGTGGGAGAAGTAGCAGCGTTCACTGAAATATACTGCTGACAGAGATAAGATTGCAAGTACTGAAGGGAGCGACCTCCAACTCCATAGTGTTGGAGTTTCAGAAGGTTATTGTGGTTAACAGTGTCAAAACCCTAGCTTAAGTCAACAAACAAACCAATGGGGAGCTCATTTTTGTTAAGTACTGCATGTAATAATTTAGGCACATTTATAAGAGCATTGTTGGTGCTTTTATTGGTCCTGAAACAACACTGTATTATCACACGAGGATAACCTCAATAAATTCCTCTCCCTGTGTGATCTAACAAACTGACCCTATTAGTGCCTCAACTTAATTATCCCATTGTTACCAATAATGTTACCAATAACCTATATTGTTTTGTTTTGCCTAGAAGACAAATTGCAAGCCGTGGTTTGGCCACAGGGCGGCAAAAACCGTAGCTCTTTGACCTTTAATATGTGGTTAGTAAAAAATTCTTGAGAATGTGAATATTCTAGAAGTTTCTACCCGAATCCAGGGCAAGAAATGCACGACTATATAAAAAGTTCCGATACTTGTGGAACAAAGTTTGCATTAACAGTTAAAGGAGGTAAACCTTTGTGTCTTGTTTGCCAAGTGCCATTCAGTCATTACAAAGCCAGGAACTTGAAACGCCAGTATGAACCCAATCACAAAAACTTTTCGTATGATTATCCACCTAAATCAGACTTAAGGAAAAATAAGTTAAATGAGTTAAAATCATCAATAATAGCCAGCAGACACTGTTGACATTATTCAGTAAGGAAGCTGTGGCTCTCAAATGGTTCTCCTGCAGCTCTCAAACATCTAAGGTTTATCATTTGCAGCTCTTACAGTAAGCAAGTCTGGCCACCCCTGCCATAAAGGCTACTGCTATACCTGGTAAAACAGGCCTATAATAATCATACATACCAATTATGCAATGATTAAATTTAGACTTATATCTACAAATTAATAATCATTACACTGTAATTTATAGTTAGAAATACTTATTAATCAGAGATATTGAGAATAATGCAAATATAGACAACTGATGTAAATATACAACATTTACAATTTTGTAACTGGCGTCAAACATTGTTATTTGCTTAGCTAAACGAACTAGAGGGTTTAGTTCCTGAACCGATTATGTGCCTCTGTAATCCTTTACACCACCGTCCACGGGATGGGTATGGGGTGCATAATAAAGAAAGAAATTGAATTGATGTAAATACTACCAGTAATTAAGCCTAGGCTAACTATATTCAATGAAATACTCCAAAAAAAATTTAATTCTAGTCATGGTAATATACTATAAATGAAAAATGCCACTTTATAAAATGGGTTAATACAAGTGGCGGAGACAGGCTAATATTATTGTCAGATAAGATAATATAATTGCCAGTATTCTAATATAATTGTGTCAGGATAATATATTTACCAGCACGCTAATGTAGCTGCCAGTGTCAGGCTAATATAATTGCCAGTCAGGCTAATATTACTGCTAGTTAAGATAATATAACTGCTACTCAGGGGGATAATATAATTGCCAGACTCATTTAATTGAGTCAGGATAATATAATTGCCAGTCAAGCTAATGCAATTCTCAGTCAGGATATATGTAATATAATTGCAAATCAATATAATATTATTGCAGGTTAATATAATTGTCAGTCAGGCTATTATAATTGTCGCATTCAGGCTAATATAATTGCCGGAGTTATGCTCACATAATTCAGTCAGGATAGTATAATTGATAGTCAAGCTAATGTAATTATCAGTCTGGATACATGTAATATACCCAGTAATTGCAAGTCTGATTAATACAATTGCCAGGCAAGATAATATAATTACCAGAGTTAGGATAATATAACTGCTATAACATAAATATTTCAGTCTGGCAAATATTATTTAACAGCTGAGTAATATATATTACTAAATATCGTTGGGATAGAGAAAATATATTTTTCCAACTAAGAAAATAATAAATGCCAGTCAGGCTAATATGACTACTGAACTAAGGTTAGCCTTTTATCAGTATCTATCTTAATGCACACAATAATGCAAGGGTTAGATCACTATAACTACTGTGGATAGGTCAGACTACTAAAAATATCTGATGCAAATATAAATGAAGAGGTTTAGCTGAAATAAATTCCAGTCTAATATATATTTGTTAATGATTTATATATCTCAGTCATTAAGCAAAATAAAAAAATTATTTTAATATTTAATAAAAATAGTACAATAGTATATATATAAAACCACAGTTAAAAGTTAACAAATCAACTAGAGTGCTTTTGGCTTGCTTTCAAGCCTTCAACTGTGGTGGCAGTGATGGCACTGCCAATGCCAGCACTGTGGCTGTGAAATATTGCCACGTTTCTTCTGTGGCAGAGAAGAAAGTGGAACGGAAGCTATGAGGTACACAGATATCAAAGAAGACAATTGGTACCAGTTGTAGATACACAATCATGATGACAGAAAGGAAAATAGGGCAGGGGTTGGAGAGTGAGAAACAAGTTACAGTGAAGTAGCAACACCATGTTTTTGAATACAGTATATGGAATTGGGTAAGCTAAAACAGTATAAAAATATATAATGAAATAATGGTTGAAGCTATGGAGAGTGCAAGATATTTTCCTGATAAAGTTTACAATTTCCAACAATTTTAAAATTGGAAAAATGGTATTATAAGTTAATGAACTAATATGTGCTTTATTTTACAATATACTTAAAACATTTTCTGATTTATCTCTCACACTCAAAATGTTTAACCTATCACCCAAATGCACCGTCTTGTGAGTTTTCATACTACAAAGATGACTGAATCTCTTCCAAAACTCTGGACACTCATGAAGGTTTATCATTCAAATGCACTAACATGTGTGCTTTTATACCTCTACGTGACTTATATAATCTGCCACATTTATCACACTCAAAAGGCCTTTCTTCTGTATGTACTAACATGTGACTTATTATAGATCCACGATTTCTAAACCTTTTGCCACACTCATCACACTCAAATGGTCTTTCATCACTGTGCATCGTCATGTGAGTCTTCATACTTTTAAGGTGTCCGAACCTCTTCCCACACTCTGGACACTTATGAGGTTTTTCACCCGAATGCACTAACATGTGAGTCTTCCTATGTCCAAGCTGACTGAACCTCTTCCCACACTCTCGACACATATGAGGTTTTTCCCCCGAATGCACTAACATGTGAGTCTTCATATGATCAAGACGAGTAAATACCTTCCCACACTCTGAACACTTATGAGGTTTTTCACCCGAATGCATTAACATGTGAGTCTTCATATGTATAAGACGATTAAATACCTTCCCACACTCTGGACACTGGTGAGTCTTCATCTTCTTTATGATTGGTGCAGTTTGTGGCAAGGTTTTCTCCTCGGATGACTGCATGAGTGGTGATGCTGGGTGACGCCTCACGTGGGACGTCAATGTTGAGGCTTAGGCAAGGCTTGAGTGTTGTTTCTTAGGCTGTTGTAGAGTTAGACTTGATGTGAGCACTTTAAGGTCAATGGTGGGCTTCTTCTTTATGATAGGTGCAGTTTGTGGGAAGGTTTTATACTCATGTCTGGACACTCACCGTCCCGTGTTGTGATAATGGCGGCGACGCTCACCTTGGCGTTCCAGTGTTCTTTCTGGTGCCACACTTTATTTTTCCTACTTCTTATTTTTGTTTGTAACTGGTTTTCTACATTTAACTCTTATGTTTTCCTCATTTTTGTAATTAAAGAATACGCTTGCAATTTATTTATTAAAATATAATGGTACACGTTTATATACTTTCTGAAGGAAACATTGCTCCCATGGTGAATGCACTACTTTGCATTTATTTATTTATATATATATATATATATATATATATATATATATATATGTCGTACCTAGTAGCCAGAACACACTTCTCAGCCTACTATGCAAGGCCCGATTTGCCTAATAAGCCAAGTTTTCATGAATTAATATATTTTCTCTAATTTCTTTCTTATGAAATGATAAAGCTACCCATTTCATTATGTTTGAGGTCATTTTTTTTTATTGGAGTTAAAATTAACGTAGATATATGACCGAACCTAACCAACCCTACCTAACCTAACCTAACCTATGTTAATAGGTTAGGTTAGGTTAGGTGGCCGAAAAAGTTAGGTTAGGTTAGGTTAGGTAGGTTAGGTAGTCGAAAAACAATTAATTCATGAAAACTTGGCTTATTAGGCAAATCGGGCCTTGCATAGTAGGCTGAGAAGTGCGTTCTGGCTACTAGGTACGACATATATATATATATATATATATATATATATATATATATATACAAGAAGGTACATTGGGTTTGTGAGAATACATTGGATAGTACAGTATTTTCACTCTTGTAAAGCCACTAGTACGCACAGCATTTCGGGCAGGTCCTTAATCTAGCAGATAATTTTAAGTAGGTAATTTCTATCAGAATTGATAAATGACAAAAATACATTGCATGTGAAAAATGAGATGAGAGAGCTTAGTAAGTATATTAAGGCACATTGTTATATTAAACCTCTGATTGATTACATTGACAGCTTGATTAGTAATTTAAACAAGATCAATAGACACCATACAGCAGATTGACAGCACATATAAGACAGCAATGATCACAATGGTAAAGATGTTCAGATTGGGTACATAAAGATTGGGAGACTGGGTAGCAAAAGATACAGATAAACAAGATTTATAAACACCATACAGCAGATTGGCAGCACATATAAGAAGACAGCAATGATCATCAATGATCAAGCATTCATTTTTTTTCAATTAAATATATAATCAATAAGTAAATATGAAAGGTAATAAACAAGTTGTAATAAACAGAATACAAGTAGATCCACAAAAAATAGGCAAGACAATAAGCAAATACATTCATAAACAAATTTGTAATAGGGAAGGAGTACCACCGCTGGCTGGAGGATACCAGACACTTTGTACACTGACAACATCGCCCACTAATATCTCTACCACTTCGGACGTTTCGCATTTGTGTACGTGTTCAATATTAAAACGACAATATAATGTTGTTTGCAATTAAAATCTTCTATTTAACAGGCATATAGTTATTAAATGAAGTTTAGTGATGTGATGGACATAATCCGGGCTTGGTAAGGACGCCGCCCGCCAGCGTAAACACAACACACCACGAATGACCACAAACATGATACAACGCACAAAACACAACACTTTTGTCAGTTTTTGGACAGACTCCTTTTATATTTATTATGTGATAATTATACTTGCATATAATGATAATTATTATAGTTAAGCGCCTAATATGTAATATTAATCAATAAAAACGAAGTCAGGAGCCACACGCCTGTCTGTACATGTCTTTTGTGTAAAAGTATTTTGGACGCTCATGTACTTGTGCGCTAGCTGGCGTTCACAACTGTTCTCGCCTACAAGCATTAAATATAAATAAATAAATAAATATGTTTATTCAGGTAAGGTACATACATACAAGAGAAGTTACATTAATGGATTGATATATAGATAGAGCTAGTACATACAATGCCTAAAGCCACTATTACGCAATGCGTTTCGGGCAAGAAAAACATTAATATCTAGAACTTAATACTAATTGAGCATAAAGAATAAAAAGTGTTGAAAAGAAATACAAATAAAGATAAAAAAAAGGGGGAACATGACTGAAAAAGCAGCACAAATACAATAGGTTGACAAGCAGTGTTGATTAAAAAAAATAATAATAATAATAAAATAAAATAACAGACATGGGTTGACAATAAAGGAGTGAGGTGGGTTACAGGGAATTTATTAGGTAGTGTTTAGTTTTTATCTTAAACTGGTTGAGAGAGGTACAGTCTTTAACATGGTTGGGAAGGTCATTCCACATTCTGGGTCCCTTGATTTGTAGAGCATTTCTAGTTTGATTAAGTCGTACTCTAGGAATATCAAAACTGTATTTATTCCTGGTGTGGTGCTCATGGGTTCTGTTACAACCTTCAATGAAGCTTTTGAGGTCAGGATTGGCATTACAGTTCAGCGTTTTATATATGTATAATACACAAGAGAGAATGTGCAGTGACTTAATATCTAACATATTCAGAGATTTGAGTAAGGGTACCGAGTGATGTCTGGGGCCAGAGTTGGTTATTGTCCTAATAGCAGCTTTGTGTTGGGTAATGAGAGGACGTAAATGATTTTGGGTAGTAGAACCCCAAGCACAAATACCATAGTTGAGGTATGGATAGATGAGGGAGTAATAGAGAGTAACCAGGGCAGGGCGGGGAACATAATATCTGATCTTAGAAAGAATGCCAACAGTTTTTGAAACTTTTTTTGATATATTTAGAATGTGACCCTGGAAATTCAGCTTGTGGTCGATGAGAACGCCAAGGAATTTGCCATCTAATTTGTTACAAATTTGGGTATTGTTTATTTTGAGATTTATCTGATTAGAGGATTTATTGCCAAACAGAATATAAAACGTTTTGTCAATGTTAAGGGTGAGTTTGTTGGCAGTTAGCCAAAGATGGACTTTCTCTAGCTCAGTATTTACTGTGGCATTTAGAGCAAGGGGGTCAGGACTGGAGTAAATGAAGGTTGTGTCGTCAGCAAATAGAATTGGTTTGAGGTGTTGGGAGGCATTTGGAAGGTCATTAATGTAGATGAGAAAGAGGAGAGGGCCAAGTATGCTGCCCTGAGGAACACCAATGTTGATGGGTAGGGTGGGAGAAATTGTATTATTCACAGAAACATACTGGAGCCTGTCAGTAAGATAAGATTTGAGGTATTGCAGGGAGTGTCCTCTGACTCCATAATGATGTAATTTAAGAAGAAGGTTTTGATGGTTGACAGTGTCAAAAGCCTTACGCAGGTCCACAAATAACCCAACAGGAAACTCCTTTTTATCAAGAGCTGCGTGAATTAAGTTAATCATACTAATAAGTGCATCGTTAGTGCTTTTTTTGGGTCTGAAGCCATATTGACAAGAGCTAAGTATATTGTGTTTGGCTAGAAAAGAGTAAAGCTGCTTGTAGATTAGCTTTTCGAATATTTTTGACAAGTTAGGCAGGATTGATATAGGTCTGTAGTTGTTAACATCTGTGAGATCACCACATTTGTAGACAGGGGTTACTCTTGCTTTTTTTAGAATGTCAGGAAAGGTTTGGAGTTCAAGTGACTTGTTGAAGAGCAATGCAATAGCAGGGGCTAGAGATCTGGAGGCTTTTTTGTAAATTAAAGTTGGTATCTCCTCGAGGGCACTAGACTTGGTTTTAAGGGAAAGGATTATTTCATTGACATCAGTGGAACTAGTAGGCTTTAGGTACAGAGACTGTGGATAGTTACCTGTAAGATAGTCCTTAACATCAGTACAGGAAGATGGAATATCATTTGCAAGGGATGACCCAATGGAAGAGAAGAACCTATTGAACTCAATAGCAGAATCAGAGGCTGAAAGCTGACCAACGTTATTGGAAAGGAGTGTTGGTTTGTTATTTAAAATCTTCTTTGATCCCAATATTTGTGAAATTGTGCTCCAAGTTTTTTTAATGTTGCTCTTTATTTGGGTAAATTTATCTTCATAGTATTTAGTTTTGGCTCGTCTAATTATTTTAGATAGCAATAACGAGTAATTCTTTGAGAATTCTTTGGAGACTGTTCCTAGCCTATACTTCTTCTCAAGGTCGTGTTTTTTGTTAATGGATTTAAGTATTCCCTTTGTAAGCCAAGGATTGTTAAGTCTTTTGCTTGTGACTTGTTTTGTAAGCATAGGACAGTGGGTGTTATAAAGGCTAAGAGTTGTTTGTAGAAAAGATTTCACTGCTAGGTTGATGTCCCCTATGTTACCTAACTCGGACTCCCAGTTGACATTATCAGCAGCAGTTATAAAATTGTTTATAGCAGTTTCATTGTGCAGCCTAAAGCTTAACTCCCTTGTCTCTAGAGGTGGTTTGCTAATGTTAGTTAAGAGAAATGTGGGGTAATGGTCTGTAGTGCTATCGGTGATTATACCTGAAGTAAGCGGAGAGGTTATGTTGGTCCAGATGTGATCTAGAGTCGTAGCAGTACTATCAGTGATTCTAGTTGGTCTAGTGATTAAGGGTATGAGGAAGCAGGAATTCATACAGTTGAGGAAGCTAACAGCAGTAGGGTGTTCAGGCTCGCAGAGGTCAATATTAAAGTCCCCTGCGATAATTAGATGGTTTTTGTTCAATCTGTTATCTAGTATTAGATTTCTAAGGTTTGAGTTGAATTCAGACACATCAGTGTTAGGAATTCTATAGACTGCACCCACAGACAGGACAGACTCGGCACCCTTGACTCTGAAACTGGCGAAGATATACTCCCCACAGCAGTCTCTAGTTCTAATTATTTTTAAGCATGTTAGTTCTTGGTGGTAGTAAAGAGCAGTACCACCACCTCTCTGCATTTGACGACAGTTGTGAATTGCCGAGTAGTTAGGCATGTTAAAGAGTTGAGTATTATCCTCTTTCAACCACGTTTCAGTAAGTATAATAAAAGAGAATTTGTTGTCAATAGTTTCAATCAAGGCACTAACATCATCGAAGTGTTTACCTAGGGATCTAACGTTCAAGTTGATTACAGAGATATTGAGATTATCTGTTAATACATTGTTTACATCATGTGCTGTAAAATATCTGCAATTTTGATCATTGAAGTGATGATTGTCATAGATTAGAATTAAACAAAAGAATTTATTTATTCATTTATATACAAGAAGATACATTTTCTCGAGGGAGTACGT